CTCTAACTTGTAATGCACTTAACATTAAATGTCCTTGATTTAAATGACGTTCTTTATTTGTACGGACAACATTATCAGTAACTAATGCAATTGCGGGCGATAGAAGCAGTTGAAGTTCTGTTTCCTTGTATTTCTTTTTCATTTCAAATCCAAATCGTTCAAGGAGTATAACAGGGCAAGGAGGATCATTCTCTCCACAATTTTTCACTAAATGAGCTTGAATGTCGTGCATAGTAATTCCAACTGTTACTTCTAACGGTCGATAATCTCTTGGATCAAATGACATTGATTTTGTATCTTCATCTTCTACAGATTCAATACTACTATTTTGCACATCTCTGTCTTTACTTCTCTCTGTACCTATAGGTGTAGGATTCGTTCGACTCTGCTGCATATCGGTGAATGTTTGGTAATCTCCAAATAAATTTTCTTTTAAATGTATAAAATTTTTTAAGAGTGATCCATATAAAATCAATATAGATGGACCTATTTCAAGATCTAAACTAACTTTATCCGAAGCTATAGATTGTGGATCAAATTTTTGACTACCATTTCTTGTCCATTGAAGACCTGGAGACTTTCTACATCGAGGAATTCTCATTGGAGACAGAAGAATTTCTTCTTTCTCTGGAGTTGTTATATTTGCTTGTGGTGTAGGTCCCAAAGGTGGACATGGATGATATGTATAGTTAATACTTAAAGCCACAATTGGCACAGACCAACAATCAACCCACCCTGCTCCTTTCTGACAAACATTTCTCCACTTTTTATTTTTATTTAATTCTGACAAATATATGTGTGATCCGTCACGTGTCATAATCTTTGCATTTTTATTCAAAGCTAACAGAATTGTACGACTTGTATTGACTTCAGGTAGATAAAAGGAGAGATCGACACTTTCACCTTGAATCCAAAAACGTAAAGGTATTGTAACAGGCAAATAATCCACAAATGGAAGATCAAATGATAGCTCAAAATATTCTCCACAAAAAGCAATGTGCGCATTTTCTTGATTCTGTGATGAACAATCAATCCAATTAAATTCATTACATAATGTAATTAATTCAAATTCTTTTAACAATAAATTAAACTTCCACGTATAAGGTACAAAATGTAAAATATCAGGTCTGGCTTTACTGGCCCAATCATTAATCATATCTTGAAAAAACTCTTTGTGCGAATAAACTAAATTAGCTGTAGCTTTACATCCAGTTAAATTTAATGTCCATTCTTGATGATCATTCCACCTTATTGGATAATGACATTTAACACCAAACTCTAATGTTTCACTTTCAACTAAACTTCGGTATTGCAAACTTGTAGTGGCTTCCAAATGTAACAGTTGACCTGTTATTTTTGTAGTGTATCCATCTTGTAAAACTATCCACGGCATAGTAATTTCCAGATATGATCCAGGCCCTACATTAATGTGAACAGCATTTGTTTCTCTGTTTTTGCTAAAAAGTATATCAATTGTAGCTTCGTTTAACGTTGATAATCTAATATCAAACGATTGAACTTGTCTTTTTTCTCCAGTAACAGGAGTTTTTGTAACTTTTAATGGCTGATAATCATTAGGAAAAAAGAATTTAAATAAATGTTCTCTTTGCCTATCAGCCCAGGGTCCATAACTAAAATCAGTACCCTTTCCACATTTAATATCAATACCCCAGATTGGTGGCATAGCCTCAACCATATCCCCATTTACTAATTGAATCATTTCTGGATGTTCAGGGACAAATCCAGGTTCATCCATGTAGTAGTAAACTTCTATATTGTTTGAGCTTAATACAACAAATCCTTCTCCCATATATCTAGGTGGATCATCCACCATTCCTGTATACTTTGGACTAGGTGCTAAAATAACTTTGAAATTTTCTGCTTTACATTTTGTGAAATGCATGAAATGATCATATCGGGATGCCGCCGGTTTCGTAGAATATACAAAATGTGCTTCTTCTACAGTTATGGATAAAGTTGTTGGTATTAATCGATTGCCAAATACCAATCTTCCCTGAAATAATAAAATACTTTAAATGGATGCAACAGTAAAATTGTTACTTTTTGAAAAATTATTTATCTACTAACTGTGCAGACATCTAATTTAATAACAGGTATTAAATCTCTCCAAGTTCGAGCTATAACATGAGCTTCTTTTTTTCTAATATTATCAACATGACGCGAAACATCCATTGCATTTATTTGTTGCCGTGTTTCGTGAGCAGTATTATTATGTGACTCTGCATCACGATCATCACTATTAATATTATGATTTTCTTCATCATGAAACATTTGTGGTATAAGACCAAATGTTTTCTCTAATTGTGCATATAGTTGACAGCGATTATAAACATGCAATTCAAAGCCATTTAACATAACTGAAAGTCGTGTGTCGGAATGTGAAAGATCTAAAAATAATGTTTTCGTTTATTAAAAGTTTGTTATATAGGTTCAGTAGGACCCCCGTATTCGCGGGGGATTGGTTTCAAGGCCTTCCGCGGATACCGAAATTCGCGGACAGTAGCGAACCCTATTACGTACACACTCGTACGTTGTATGCATGTATTTACATGCTGTACATACCTATGATAATATTTTATTTATTACATGAAGGTGCTTGTAAAGTTTTAGTTAATTTGATTACTAGTTTTATTATAATATTATTTTGTAATATAATAATATGACGTATCGCGAAGGTTTGCGAGACATTGTGGAAACCTATCAGAGATAGATTCCATATTTGAACGCAATTTTTTCGGACCGCGATCAACCACGGAGAAAGTGAAACCGCAGATACGGGAGTCCTACTGTATTGGAATTCCATAAAAATATTGTATAATTTTAATTTGTATTTGCATTACCTTCAGATACATCTTTGGGAACATAACTTCTCCACCACCTAAATATAAGCCAACCATCCTGTACCCTGATACTATAATCTGTTGTGATATAAACTATGTCTCGAAACATTATTTTTCCACTTAATACACTTAAAGTAAAAGACCCTAAAAATAGAAAGACCATGCTATAATTAACTTATCAACACATATTTCATATTTAGCTTGTCAACATATTTGCATACAATAGATATATATTTTTCAGAGACTTACCTACTTTAACATATCCATCTCTAATAACAAATCGATTCAACAATTTTGTTAATATATAACCAATGACTCTGCTATTATAATAAGCAATATAAATAATCCAAGAGATAGCAGATACTAATGAGCAAAGTAAATATATAAAACTACTATCCATCTTAAGGTCATCAAGGATGACATGATCGGAATAGTTCCAAAATGCTGGTTCAATTCCAGAGAAAGATGGAACTGTAGCATTGTACAGTTCATTCTCCTCCATGATGATGATGTTGTTGTTTTATTACAGAATCAAGAAATATTAGTCATTTTGTAATTATCCACTAAAACAATAAAACAAACATGTTTGCAAAGAAAGATAAGAATACAACAACCACCTTCATTTAAAATACCCAAAGTATCTTGTTTGTAATCATAAATGTATGCAATTTATAATTTGTTATCCTACAGCTTCTACTATTCAATTTTTTTTATCACAACAAGATTAAATTCGTTACTCATATCTAAAAGATATGATTACTCAATTAATATCAAAATCATAAAAAAAAATAGTTTGTAAACATAACCTAATCAACTAAGTATCATTAGAAAAAGTACATCATAATTTATTAAACAACCTGCCTAAACATAATACTATATTACATTTCATATTTTTATCGTCATCATGATATTATTAATTAATAAAATGTTATCTACTCTTGAACAAAAAGATAAAAGTTCCTTAAAAACCCATCATAAATTTAAAAAAATATCCATTGTTATAAAAATTGTGAAACAAAAAGTGTGCTTCATCATACATTTATTGATGCTTTGAGTTATTTAAATGATTATCTACTTATCAATGAAACCAATATATCTCTTTCTCTCTCTCTCTATATATATATATATACACACACATACATATAATACATTCGAATGCATTTTTTTTTTTAAATACTTCATGAATAAATGCAAAGTCAAACTAATTTGTTCAACTAATTTACCTTTATTCAGTACTTATATAAGAATTACATTCAATTTTTGTTGTGTCACTCATGGTTTTGTGTTTATCAGTACATCAGTTTTAATAGATGTCACAGAACTGTCATCGATGGACAGCAACACACATAACCACTCCATAGTTGACTACTGTCTCTAACTATAGATTTAGCAATGATACTCTATATTTTATTGCTCACAAGATTTGATATATTCTTACAATCTCGAAAAAATGCCATCTATTATATTTTTCGAATATTTCAACAATTGTTGTAATATTGTTTAAGTGAGTAAAGCAGTTTAAAAATCGGTAAAGTAGTACTCTGTAATTCACTGTTTTTAAAATTAATATAATAAAAAATACACAAACAATAACTTGTATCATAATATCATATTTTGAACTTAGTTAATTATTGTTTCGAACATAAGACTATTATAAAAATAAATCTATTTTGAAGATATAAACTTTATCACTAATTTCATTGCAGTAATATTACTTTCGATATTTTGTGTTTAAAGTTGTATGCCTGAATCGTATGAAGATTTCACACTGCATAGTGCGCGCTCAAATAGAATTTAATTAGAAAAGAATTTCATTTATTAATTATCTTTATTTGTATTTTATTATAACGACTTACGAAAATTTGTACAGAATTGTTTGAATCATATAATGCGTTCTGTATTCGTCAAATGGTCAATAAATGTTTCACAAAAATCTTATAAGTAACGGTTTTTATAACGTAAATTTTGTTTTGATCGAAATTTTTACTCTTTAAAGTTTGATTAATGTTTGTATATTAAACAGTTTATAGTTTTCTAAAATTTATTTCTACTTTATTCAGATAAACGTGAAATATTCAGTATAGCTGGTTTTTAATTCACTTATGATAGTATTGTTTATGTAATTTACATTTTATAATTATGGAAAAGTCTACGGATGTATTTGCATGGACTCGTAAATTGGAATGTCCACCAACAATATGTAATGATCCCGTAAAGAAAATGTTTGTATAAATTAAAAATGAGAAAAAATCTAAAAATAATGCAGGCTATACATTAGAATTTACATAGAAATTACATATTATCTATGACAGATTACATTCAGGACTTGTTGGACTATTATGGGATGATTTAACTGAAGTTATGTTTACTGCTGAAGAAGCAAAAACTACACGAAAAAATATTTTATTGCACCATTTAAAACAAGGAACATCTAACAAAGTTATACAGTGCATGGAACATTTATTGGAATTAAAGTTCAATAGAAATGAATTAAAGAAACAAATATCTAAGTTAGAAGAAGAATATGAACAACAGGATTTTGTAGTTAGACAAAAAGGTATCTTTAGTATTAACAATTTATATTAAACAAAATTAGATTAAACAAATGCTTTTTATTTAGTGCAAAAGCTACGGGATATCTCATCTAAACGTTCTGATATAAAAGCAAGGAGAGATTTACTGAAGATGAAACATGATCAAACTAATACACAACTTCGTGATCTTAATAGTATGAGATTGGTTTGTCAATATTTAATGCCAAGTACTTGTAAAGATTTAGATACTAAGATATTGATGGAAATGTCAGGTGTAGTAACAAGTCTATGGACTGGAGCAAATAAAAGACAAGTGTGTATACATATAATATTTAAAATAATGATTATTATAGTCACATAATTCAGATTATATCTTTAGGTATGGGATATGGTATCAAGTAATCTTGTTCACATTGAAGTTCCTACATTATGGCATCACATGTACCAAAATTTAACAGAAGATGTAGATGCATTAATTAAATCAGAAACTATGAAATCCATAGACAAAGATGAAAGAAGCATAAATGTAGGTTTTGCAAAAATATATGGGCAGCATATTTGTGTGGTTGCTAAACGGTTATTGTCTAATGCAAAAGCAAATAATCATCAACAAAATGTGTTAGAATTTATAGAAAAAATTGAGGTATGTAAAATACTGGTTAAAAATTATACATAGTCTCAGATTAAATGAAACTGTTATTTTAGGTAGCTTCAAATAATTCTACAGATGTGAGTGAGTGGTTAGCATTAGCATTGGAAGTCTGTAAATTAGAAACTGAACAAAAAATTTTACAAGTGGAACTTGAAAAAATTCAAGAAAATTTGCGTGAAAGTAATGCATTTGTATTTGATTTAGCAGAATTATCTTCAGAAATTCAAAATGTTGATACTGAAATTGTATGTGGACATCGTAATATCATTATTATTTACATATACATTATTGTCTTTGCATTAATTTCAAATCAATTCTAGGTCGAATGTGTCCAAGATATACAACAATCTTTAAATCTTTTAAAATCTGCACCTATGTTTCTTATGCAGATAAAAGAAAAAATAAATTTAGAGCTGCAAAAAATAGCAGCCATGCGTGCCGTTGGTCATGACTGTACGATATTGAATAACGATTTAGCTGACGAATTAGATGTATTTTATGATGTTTTAGATATCAATGCTTTAAGAAAAGTCATGCTAAAAGGAGATGTTGGAATTTATAGGTCAGACTGCTTTCATGTTATAAAAATTGATTAGCATATTTGCTATATCTGAAATGAATGTTGTAAAATAACTTATATATTATTCAAATATTTCAGGCATAAAAAAAGTTGCATTAGTGAAGCTTCTGTTCCAATTACTAATTTCCAAATTTCTAATATTACATCATATTTTCCACTGATTCAAACACCAGTATATTCTTTACTAGAATGCTACAAGAATTTAGTATCAATGTTTGTTTATAAAAAATTCGAATCTTTGGAAAGTGAAGAAAATTTAAATCCATTTCAATTACCTATAGTAACCCATAAAGAAAATAACTATAATACAGTTGAACTTCTGAATTTATCGAAAGTTGTTAGTTCGAAAACGAAAACAGAAATGGATGAGTTTAATGAAATTTTAAATGCTTGGTAGGTATACAGATGCAAATTATTCTTTTCACTGAATAAAATATAAATAGTAATGTTTATTCTATTATTAACAGGATAAATCAAACAGTCCAAAAAGCAATGGGTATTATCGAAAAAACTGTAGAAGATGCAACTTTTTCAGAATGGCGAGAACGCTATGATTTATTGTTATATATGTTGCAAAATTCTACGTAATACTCAATGTATAAATGTTGCATTTACATAATAAAAAATTTTCAAAATTTTCAGAATTAAAATGTATAATGAAATAATTTGTATATACATAAATTTCTAGTATTATGAACATACATTTATTTTCACGAATATTTTAATATACTGAGTGATTGACTAAATTAGACCGCCATAAATTTTCGTAAATAATAAAAGAAGGAGAATAAAAGTTTTATTCATTCTGTAGTACTATTATCTAACGGAATATAACTTTAAATTAAAATTGCCTAAAAGTCCATTAATATGGAATTGACAAATTTAAATACAATCCTTTAAAATATTCAAATGTAATTCCTTGTTTTCATTAGAAAATTGTGGTCAGATGTGTTAGTAATAATTATCAACATATATGTATAGTAATTTTTCGTTGCACTAGATATATGGAACATTTGTCCCAACAAAGGTGGCGGGTTTTTATAGTTGTAGCACGGTTCACGTAACCTGCGTGTTTGAGAAGTAATTCATAATAATAAAGAAACAAAACGAAGAATTTTGTATAATGCGACAATAATTGTACTTTTTAAATATTTGTAATTAAAAAATTCAATTTATGTTATTAAAAGATGCTGTCAACTGTTTTAAAATCTGTATTCGGTTATGAAGTCTTCAAAAGTGATGTTCAAAAACAAGCAACCACCGCTGTTTATAAAGGTTGTACATTTAAAAATATCTGAAAATTTAAGAAATCTTATGACATTTAGTATTTATAAATAAATAAATTTTTAACATTAAATAATTTTAGGTAAACAAGATGTATTTGTATGTATGCCAACTGGATCTGGCAAATCACTTTGTTTTCAATTGCCAGCTATAATGAAAGATGATAAAGTTGCAATTGTTTTTTCACCACTCTTAGCTTTAATGAAGGTATATAATTAATCAATCAAGTAATCAAAGTTAAAAGAAAATGTAAATGTGAATTACATAACATCAGTTTACTATTGCAGAATCAAGTAGATTTTTTAATTAGCAAAAAAATAAATGCAAGTTCATTGAATTCAAACACATCTACCAAAGATAGAAATGCAATAATTCAAGATTTATCATCTACTTCTCCAAAGATTAAATTATTATACGTTACCCCTGAAATGGGTGCACAAAAGCATTTTCAAGTAAGTTATTATTTTATATTCATGGTACAATGCCCACTATGATGTGCTTAAGTAATTATTGAACTTATTTTCCCATAGGACATAATAATAAAATTAAGGAAAGCACAGGCACTGTCTTATTTTGTTATTGATGAAGCTCATTGTTTAAGCCAGTGGGGTCATGATTTCAGACCCAGCTATAGGCAATTAGGAATATATAAACAATTATGTCCCAATATTCCAATAATTGCATTAACAGCTACTGCTGCAAAGGAGGTGCATATTTCATAAGCTTAGATTTTAGTCAAATATTTAAACTTACTTTCTTATGATATATTTTCTACAGGTAAAAGATGATATACTGCAATGTTTAAACATGAGAAACTCTTTAATATTCTCAGTTCCTGTATTTCGATCTAATCTTTACTATGATGTATGGTTTTTAGAAGCATTAGATAAGCCTTTTGAACACCTAAAAAGTTTTATTATAGAAGCTCTTGGTTCTCAAGATAAGTCTGTTCCAAAAGATATTATATTTTATTTTAAAATAATTTTAGGTGAAAAAAAGTTGTGGTATTATTTATTGTAGAAAGAAGGAAGCAACTGAAGTAATTGCAAATAAATTGTCCATTTCTGGTATACCTACACTAGCATATCATGCTGGTACATGTTCCTATTATTTTGAATATTCATAAAGCTAGTAATAATAAAAAGAATAGTATGGTAACAATAATGTTTACAGGTTTAAAAAATCAAGAACGTAATGAAGTCCAAAATAAATGGACATCCGGCGAAATACCTGTTATTGCAGCAACATGCAGTTTTGGAATGGGTGTAGATAAAGGATCTGTTAGGTGAATTTCACTATCTTATGGCAAATTTATAATGTCATTTTATTGATATTTTATGTTAATATTACAATTTTATACATAGATTTGTAGTTCATTGGACAGTTCCTCAAAATATAGCAGCATATTACCAAGAATCTGGTAGAGCAGGCAGAGATGGTAACCCGGCATTTTGTAGAATTTATTTTAGTAATGAAGAATATGGACCCATTGCATTTCTTATTAAAGAAGAAATTACGCAAAAAAATTCGGAACTAGTAAAACTGAGATGGAAAAATTTTGAGAAAACTGTCGCGTATTGCCTTGAAGTAAAGTAAGAGTTATATTATATATAAACATTTTCTCAATAAGTATCCATTTAACATGTAAATTTTCAACGATAAAACATTCTGTAGATGTAGACATGCAGTATTTTCTAAATATTTTGGAGATAGTCCGCCACCGTGTAAAGATAGGTGTGATGTATGTAAAAACAAAGATGTTGTTCAAGCAAGAGTATCGCAGTTTGAAATGTCTCAAACAAGAACACGAATATCGAAACCCAGTAGTAATTTAGATGGTATTGCGTTATCAAAACATGATGGAGAGTAAGTGTATTTTATTAATAGTGCAATTTTTTTTTTTTGTTAAAATATGATTGTTAGAATGGAATTGTTTTAATTTACAGTGAAAATGAATTCGGAGGACAACAAGTTTCAAGAGAAAAACTTTTAGCTGAAAGTAAACGGGAAGCTAAAGAATTAATTGAGAAACAGTTTGCTATTCGAAGAAGTAATAGAAGTAAAAACGAGGAGGTATATGTATATGTATATCTGAAGGCTAGATTGATAACTTTTTTTACTTCATTTCAATTGTGATTTTTTAGATAACGAAACAAAATCGTGAAGATGCTAAACAATCTCAGGTATGTGCAGCTGAAAGTACTGACATAAAAATAAAGGGTTTAGCTGTACAAGTTCGAGAACATTTTTATACTCAATTAAAATCGGCGTTATTGGATAATTATCAAAAAATGTTTCTGGAATCTAATGGTCAAACCCAACAAAATGATATGCATAACATAGCATATGATCTTGAATATAAAGTGTTATGCAATACTAAAGTTGCAAATAAATATAAATTTGACATGTCTAAATTGGTATGTAGTATCGTATTTTATATAGGCATAAAATTTAGTAATTTTATTTGGGTTTTATTTTTGATACATTCAGATTTCTTCCGTGCGTAAGTGTACCAGTGCTAACACGCTTCATGAATATTTATACGATTTTAATACGAATAGTGAGTTGCTTGTACAATTAGAATATTTAAATGATTATACAAATAAAGGGGAAGAAAGCGATAATCGTTTAGAAGAGAATATACAAATAAATAAGAATATTTCATGTCCTACATTTAAAACTGCCTTAGAACTTAGAAAAGACGATAAGTTATTAGAAACTAAGTCTAGCAATAGAAAGAAATATTTATTTAATGCAAACATTTTGCAAGATGACAATAAAAGCACCAGCACAGGGAAAAAGCAAAATGATGTCAATAAAAGTCATTTTCTTTTTACCGAGCACGAGAATGCTGAAAAAAGAAACCTAACAGAAGAAGATAATGAAACAGCTGTCAAGGAAGATAAGACTACTGATTTTCAAGCATTAAGTTTCACTTGTGCTCGAAAACTTCACGAGGATAATGAAACGTTATTCAAAAATCGTGATAAAAAATCACGAAAATCTTCGAAAGAATCTATAAAAAAAGATTTAAAAAATAAAAAAGCATTTGTTGCAAGTAAATCAGTTTATGAACAAATTTTGCAATCTGTAAAATCACGTTCTGATGATACAATTTCGATAAGTAATGAAAGTAATCATAGTACAAATGTTACGGAGGATTTAATGGAATTAAAAAGCGAAAGTAAAAAGAAGCGTAAAAATGTAGATTTATTTAAAGGTAATATGGATGCTGAATTAAATAAAAAGGCGAAGTTTGATGATAATAAGTTGTCCCTAACTAAGAGTAAAGAAACTATTAACGCTAACGAAACTAGTGTAAACGAAGTTTATCTCGATAAAAAGAATAAAACTGACAATGAAAGGAATGAAATTGTACATAGTAAAAGTGAAAAAGTATTTTCAGTAATAAAAGATAAAGAAAAGCAAGAAGTTTCAAAAGAGGAAAACACGGTAATTCAACGTACAGAAAAAAGAAGGTCGTCACAAGAAAAACATGACAAGAAAAGCCATTCAAAACAACAAATAAGTAAAAATAAAAAGATACTCGTACCTGCAGATAAAGTGACCCAGTTTAAAACTGCAGAAATTTTAAAATCGTATTTAATGAAGTACTATCCATCTGAACGTATTCCTGATCGAACAACATTTTCAAAAACGTGTAGAGAAATGCATCATACCCTCCTTGCCAAAAAAATATTCGGTAAATATTTTAGTAAGTTTGCATTTTCTTCAGTGCTACTAAATTACTTGAAATAATAATAATTGTTTCAGATAAAGGTGGAATACAACAATTTGTTACGAACTATATGGCGCAGAATTAATGTTTTTCACCAGAAATGTCCATTAGAATTAGTATAACACAATAACAATTAAAAAATATTTGTATATATACTTGTATAAATATGGAATCATAAATTCATTTACTTGTATCCTTTATTTGTTGTATACATTACTCAGAAAGTTGTATTTGTAAGAAATCGTTGCTAATCTTTTACAAACATATTAACTGAAACCCAATTAAATGTGTTATATATGTAATGAATTTTTGAAATTAACTTTACATACTTAATATCTAATGTTATAATATTCACTTAATAATGTACTTGGTTCTTTTATTATTTGAGCAAACAATAATTTTTCAGGTATTCAAATTCAAAAAGATAAGGTATTGATTTAACAGTCTTTTATTATAAACATTATTTATTGAGCAATTCTTATAAATACTTATACCATTAACATTTCACTGGCAAGAATTACAGTATTTGTATGAAGCATGTATGTAACACCTATTCTTATAAATATTATGATATATACAACTGAAGGAAACAGGACTTATGTATACAAAGACCTTGAATTGCTTTTTTTTTTCTTTCTCCACTAATGTTAAATAATATGAAAATATATTTTATAGGAACGCCTTTATTTGCATACTACAAAAATATTGTTTCCTTAGTTGATTACAGCATTCAACTAAGTCTATAGGTGAGGCAAGACTGGTAAACTTCAAGAATTCATTCTTATTAATCTATCTATAAATTAGAAAGTCACAAATTACTATCTTTTAACTGTGCATGTTGTATCTTTCATTAATTTCGTTGTTTCTTCTTTAGACAAAACATGGACAAAAATTTATTAACTTTTGAAGTTTGATGTAATTGTATATGATATATAGACTTAAAAAATGTATAAACAGTGTAAATACTACGTATATTAAAAATCCGTTCTATCTACAATATTTACAATTTAAAAGTTAATTAAAGATGTTGACACTGGAATGTAAGTAGTAAGTACATTCGATTTTATTTTAAAAACAGATATTAACTTTTAAAAATTTTTGAAATATTACGCAGGTAAGTAATATTTTCATATTTCGTAATTTTTGTTATTTCTTCTTATTTTGCACGATATAATTTAGCCATAATTTTGAAATTATAATTTTTCTTTAGAAAACAAAAGTTTATTAACCATTAATTCTAAATGAATGATCCATCAAACATGTAACTTAAGGTTATGATCGATGCGCATAATTATGGAATAAATAAAATTTTGATAATTTTGAAATATTTAAATAGTAATAAAGAAAGTTATATCTTGAGATGAAGCTAACTAATTGAATCAAAAACTAACAATATAATTCAATGCGTTTAGGCATTTATATTTGACAATAGAAAAATTACGATTACTGTATTCATTATCAGAAAAAGAAGAATCGTAAAATATATATTTCAATGCTCTTTATACGATATAATACTTTTAAAAGCTCATACAGAGCAATAGCACTTAGTATATATTACTTACTAATTGTAAAAATTTATTACTAAGATACTAATAATTATTTTATATGTATGGCTAAAGTAAATTACAATTGAAAATATTGTTCCCCTTTACCTTTTTTTAAATAAATCTTTCAGTTTTAAACACAAACGGTGCAATTCCAAATTGATGTCTTTTTTTATGCAACACATATTTTACCGATAACATAATTACTATAATAACACGATACGATTTTTACATGTTAATCGTTTTTTAAATGATAACATTTTCATTTCTTTTATTTTTTACATTTAATAACATTATGATTTCATATAAAGCACTTAATCACTATGACCAGTCTATAGTATCAGTCTTAATGCGCATAATCGTTTGTATAAAGTTTTAAATCTTTTGAGTAAACAATTATTGCATCTGTGTTTTTGTCCTCCCCTTTTTTATAAGCGTACCGGTCTTTTAACAACAAAAATTCAAAGTACCATCACCAAAAGAAACAGAATTTTCTGTTCTTATTAAAAAAAACATGTTGAAATAAATTTTTTAATAACAGAACATTTTATATACGTGGAAGTAGAGACTAATGTATTCCGAATTTGCACCGTTTGTACTGACACACGATACTAAAGTTTAATCAGAAAGTTTGAAAAAAGATGTCACTACTCACCACGTTATGATTGTACTTGAATAAATTGATTAACTATTTTATGATTGTTTATATTAAATAAACTACATAACTATATTTTCATTCTAGGATTAAAATGCTACTTTAGGATTTGAATTCTGTGGTACTACTGTGTCGTTTGAAAACCTTAATGTAGACAAGCTTCCATCAGAAAATAAGTGTACTTTCCTACTTATCGGCAAGGATTTCGATTTTTCTCACTAATCGATTGTAGTATCTCGAAATCCAAAATGGTCCGATGCGTCTTATTAGTTCTCATACATTATACGAGAAATAGCCTCTTTTTAGAGTTCTGTTCGTACAGTATCAATCACACGATATCTTCTTTTAAAGACGACAATTCCGTCGTTACATCGGGTGCAGTATTCACATCCTTCGATGGCAGTAACGTACTATAGTAGGTATCCATTTCTTTGGCTTTACACGACATTCGTCTATTGCTCAAACATTGCATCTTTGGATTTTTTATTTCAGAACACAACCATTGTCGGAGCGACGTTGGTCCATTTGGCTGGTACAAAAAGATTTTGTGAATACCAAGCGCAATAAGTATAACGCTAGCACACAGCGAGGAGTAAGTCAGAATGTCTTGGAGAACAGGTAAGATGTTTAAATAAAACCAGAAACGAATGTATATCGACAGCGGTAATTCGTACATTCCCTAAAAAATGAAATATTAAAAAAAAAATTAACATCTTTTTAATTTAATTTATTATATAATGGTTTACTTGTTAGTACGATAGTTCATTTCTTAAATAGTTAATTAATTCTAAAAATAAAGTAAGGTAATGCCAATAGTTTTTTTATTGTTAGCAATTTTTATGTTATATAACGAAAAGAAGTATTAAGCATTAAGTAGTCTTTGAAAAATTATCAAAGGTACTACGTCGGTAATAACTGTATCTACAGTATCGATGCGATATTTTCGATATCGGGATGTTCGATATATTTCGATATGTTCGATATGTTTCGATATTCGAAGAAGCTTCGATATTAACGACAGTTAGTACTTACGATTTCGAACCATAGTAGCGGTAAAATGAAGTTGTCGAATTTCTCTACTCTAGCCATGTGTTTAATATCCTGTAAAGCCATGTTGATTTGGAAACGGAAAGCAAGCTGTATCGGAAGACCTGACTTGGGCTGAACATAGGCGAAAGATTCGTGAAGATCAGGATCTGGATACAAACCCTCGATAGCCTCCAAGATGCTTGGGTCGCTCTTGAAAAAGTGTGGATACGAGAGAGCAATTGGGAAGCCTGCAATCGTCACAAAGGTTTGCAAATCAACATATCAATATAAAATTTTCTACCATTCATATTTCAGGTCTGTGTTCTCAACGTTGATAGTATCATATTATCAATGTTGCATTATTATTCAATTTGCTGTATGCGCATATTTACCAACGTTAATATCTAACATTATTCAATGTTTTATCAGCTACAGAACCTGTTCACGTAAACAGGGATCAAAGGTATTTTAATCAGAGATTTTTATTAATTCGTTTTTAACGTGAATCGATATAAACTCACGCGCTTCGATACCGTACAGTAACGTCGACGCGATAAATTGTTAATTGCGTACGATGTGTGCATCTTTACAATTAACATGATTCATGGTTCGTGTCACATTTTATATTTCAGTGATACAGGGTAGCGATACAATGGCTGTTGTTTAATTGGTCTTACCATAGTAGCAATCGGTGACATCGATTAAGCCAGGTTTCAAACAGTATCCTTTGCGACAGAAACACTTGTTCTCCGGATTATACGCGCCATTGTCCAACACGTTCTCGACAAATTTATACTTGTACGAATGTAAGCCGTTTATATACGTTTCGTCAACTTGTTTCTGTAAAATAATGCATACATGTTTTTTTATTGCTAATGATTTTTCCTAATATTGCACATAGATAGTCGTTTATATATTCCATGCGTGTACGTGTGATAAATTACCAGTAGTAGTGAATAGCACGAGAATCTGTTTAGATGTTATGAAATTGTTAGTATGCATGTTCCCCTAATGGTTGGTGTATTGCAGGTACCAAAGTTCAACATACCATGTATGCACTGCGACAGAGACTTTTCCTAAAGAATAAGACAGTATCATTCGGCTGAATGTAACTTGGGAACTTTACACCATCGCTAGCCTTGTTCACATTCGCACACGTCCCTGTCCATTGCGGCAGATTTACGTCGCCGTTGTACTTTTCAATTAAGCCTGTCAGACGAAAGTCGGTTTCTCCTGTGTAAACGGTTTCATAATCGCCCTCGAAATCGTACATCTGTGGATAAAAAAGGTGCCTCGTTGCAGTATCCGCAAAACACCAGCAGGGATGGAATCGGTATTCAGGATTGTAGGGTAAACACTTTTCAGAAGAACGGATTTTTACTAAATAAAATTCAACGCAACGATATATTTCAAGTTGTGTAGCAAGGAGTACGAAAAATATAAAAAAGAAAAAATAGACGAATCACTCCGTTGATAACAAATATTGCAATGTTAATTACGAGTAGTTCGATATTAATTAGGGAGACGTTTAAATTAATATTCAATTTTCAGTTATCGCTTGAAAGCTGTCGTTGTTGGTTTTACACGTTGGTCGTTTGCATTTAAAAGAAACTCACTCTATCGATAAGACCCAGTTTATCGAACTTGATCCAAGATGGCATTACCTTGTTACCGAGCGTAACAAGTGTCGATTCGTAACCAAACATAAATTCTCTAGCGGTCATTTTGACCAGTGGCTGTGAATTTGTGTTATGTACCAGTAAGTTCAATCCTAATCTGGAGAAGTAGGAAGCATCTTTCATCACGTTGCTGATACTCTGAAACAAAGAAAGAAAGATCTCTCGTAACGTAAATTGTCGAATTTAAGGATTACAATCCTCAAGTAGCATTTCCTATGTATTATCAGCGGATTAAATTCCACACAAATATAGATCATAGTAAATAGACTGGACAGGTGTGTAAACACGCGTGAAAGTTCACGGAGTAGCTAGCCATTAATTAACGTCATCTTCTCTCCTTCTGTTTGCAGGTTCATCGGTTTCCGAGGTTCCCTTATAATTAATCTTCTTTGTTACGGAATACGACGTGTGCTACGGTTAATTAGCGATGATTTGTTGTCGCGAAACCTTGAAGGGGACATTATTCATTTCCGTATCATCTGTACTCCACGGCTTCGTTATCACCGTACCTCGTTACCTATATATCGATCGTAGTGATCTCTGGATCGTTCTCCGCACGTATTGCGAACAAAGCGCCCCCTTCCGGTACTTCAGCGATCTTCATTTTCTGCCTGGAAAGTTCATTGACGCCGTTCTAATTGCTCAGTCGCGTTTACCGACTGGATGTATATACCACGGGAGAATCTCTCACGTTTTAAGTCCATTCCTATTCACCGCATACATATGCATGCACGACAGTAGCTCTCGGTGCACGCGTTACATAAGGATGCTCCTTGACAAATTGTGCCCGTGTTGTGCATCGCTCGTACAGTGGAACGACCACTACTCGAGTGTTTTGAGAAATGCATCGCCTCGCTTCATCTCCATTCAAAGATCACTCTTCCCGTAGAGCGCGTAACAGCTGCTGAAACGCCGCGAAATGGTTATATATACCTCTCGTGTCAAGTATAGGCTACTTTGCAAATTCAAATTTCTTACCCCGATCGGGAGAACGTTTTATTTTCAATCTCCGAGCCGTTCAATTGAACTCGTTCGAAATTGAATATATGTGTCTGTGTATCGGTAGATACTTGTACACGTTCATTAACACGTGCCTTAATCTCCATGACGTAAATTGACGATTAAACGATTGTAAAAAAAAATCACCACAACATCCTGTGTGGGAATGGAAACATTGTGTCGTATGGATATCTTGGATATGTTTATGTTACTAATTGCATCGTTTAATTAGCTCTCTTTTTTTTCACCCGGTATAAACTTGTCGTTAAAAGGACTATCAGGACGTGTTAATGATAGACAGAAGTAATAATTGAAGAGTTACAATTAAGCTTTAACGATCCTAATCATTACGCATATGTTTTCAGTAATTGTGCATTTGGTTTTTTTGATAAGCGATGTTTTGATATTGCGCCACTTTTTATTAGCTTCGTGGAGTTATGAAATGGCAAGCATTCGAAGAATGAAGTTTGTTATTACGTCGCGCTGAGCTGAGGGACTTAATTGATTTTTTTCATCTTTCGAAATGATTTGTACAAACTTGGTCCTGGTGCACGTCGAATTTCCGCTCTAACGAAGCATCACGCGTTACAACTCGATGCTTTCTCGCCGCGAACACATGATGCACTCGTTAAGAATGTCTTCGTGCATCGAATGGAAAATTTATTCGTGTACACAGTCGACTGTTGACGGTTTTTCTTTTTTTTCTCTCTTTTTTTCTTCTTTCGAATGCAG